TAGGAGGTGTTACCGACATGAAAGGATGTTTCCTTTAGCCACAAAAGCATGCTCAGGAAAATATCTTGTCTGTGAAATCCCTTCATTAGGGAGCTACTTCTTCCTCACTGCAAACTTGAGGTTCTAATGACAGAGAAGATTATAGTATCTGCTTCCATGTGCAGCAATTTTTGATCCAAGTAATAGATCCATGATCTGAGAATTGTCAATCAAAATACATCTCTTAGATTTTTCAAAGGAATTAGAAGGTGTAAAGGTTTCGTTTCTGATAGAAATGATAGGATGCATGACACCATATCTGTCAGTGGTACCTGAAATAGGCTGGAAATGAGAATGAAACTCACATTCAGAAAAGGAAAGAAAATGTGAGCCAGAGTTACCATTGACAACCTTAGACAGCCTGCTTAAAATGCCTGTGGATCTGTCCTGAGCTCAGATCCACAAATGCTTTTCCTCCGATTTGATTTTCAGTACTGATAAAACTTTCTTTTTCTTCTATAATTCAAATTAAGTTTCTTCACATTCAAAGGAAAGAATGGGTGAAATAAAATGGGTTTAATACTGACTAAATTCTATAAGTAAAAATGAGTGATAAGATAGTTCCTCCCTTACCCTTACTCATATAACCTTCTGAAGCTATTTGACATTTCTAATGACAAAAACCAACCTAGCTTGGTGTCATTTTCTCTATGTCTACCTGTTTTTACATTTACTCTATACATTTACTCTAATTTCTGCAAGAGGTTAAATCATTCAATCTAAGGTTGTTACCTTTTAGATTCCTGTTAGTCTTGTTAGATCATCTGGTGTTCATGTGGGAGGGATTACTTGGCTAGGTAATATGATCGGAAGAGTAAAAAGCAGTGTAGTTTAAAAAGCTATCTTTTATTTTGAAGCTTAGCTTCAGAATAACAAGACAAAGCTATAATGAGGAATGCATTAAACAAGCAAATGAATCTAGCAATTACAACATAATAAAATTAATACCTCATGCAGTGACATAAGGTAAAATGTTATTAATGATTTATGATAAAGTACATACTACTACAGGAAAATACAGTCTGACAAGACTGACCCATACAAAAGTCCACTCTGTCTCACAGAATTTAAGTCAGATATGATTTCTGGCAAATCAAGCAAGATTACAGCAAATGTTTCATACTTTTCTAATCATAAAGGCCAAACTGGCTCAATCACTAATCTAAAATGCTCAACAATATGATCACTGGCTAGTACCTTTCACTTTGTGCTGGTCAGGTATCAGTATAATATGCTGACATGACAGCATGAAAGAGACTTAGTTGCTCCAGTCTATAACAAAATAATTTTATATAACCATAAATAGTATACATGAAAATATTAAATGTAGTGAAGATACTATATATTTACATTAATTGAATAAAAAAGAGCAAAAACGTCTTTATTCCATCAAAGATAAATATCAGTAATTGGCATTATCTTCTCTTCTGTCTTTACTGTTTCTCTGGCTTTAATCAATTTTATTGGGGTAATTTGCATATAAAATACAAACAAAAATAATGTTAAGTAAAGTTAGTCTTAATGCATGTATAGGGCTAAATAATTACCTGCACATCAAAATATAGACTACTTCCTACACTTAACAGTTTTCAGCATGCACCAATTAAACCCCCTGTTCAACACCAGAAATCTAGAGGTGTTCTATCTATAGTTTTTCAAATTTTATCCAGACGAGTGTATATAAAACCTGCATGTTAGTGCACTTCTCCTTTCATTCAGTATAGTTCTGTAGCAAAGTTCACTTTTCATGTTTTTGATCAAACATTCATTAGAATAAAAACTAAGAATTGGAAGAGGGCTGGCCAAATAGTTCAGCTGATTAAAACACTTGCAAGCAGGCTCAGGGGCTGGGGGTTCTATTGCTGGGCCAGCCATGCTGGCCCTGCTGAGACTATAATTGAGACTGGGCGTGGTGGCACACACCTGTAATCACAGGTCTTGGGAGGCTCTAAGCAGGCAGATCACTATGAGTGAGACCCTGAACACCTGTGCACCCTTCCCTAAAATACAGAGAAAAAAAAAAGAATTTGAAAGCACACATGATATACTACTAAATGAGGAAATGTTTCTAAAATACAATATAAATACCTTTAAAATCTAAAGGACTTGAATGAGAACTATGCCAAGAATTTTTTTTTTTTTTTTCCAGAACCGGAGATTGAACTCAGATCCTTGGGTTTGCCAGTCAAGCGCTTATCCTACTGAGTCATCTCCCCAGCCCCAAGAATTTCTTAATGAAATAAATTTATTGCAATTCAAGGTTGTTAAAAAACATAAAAATGTGCTACAGGAACATAGAGTAAACTTTCATTGAGGTCTTTCTCCCCTCCAAAGAAACCAAAGTGAACTGGTATTAATAACCACTTCCATGTCATGCTTAAATATTCATCCAATGTAATTATTTTCAACTTAGGAAAATATGTTAAACATGAAACTATTTTTAGAAAATTAATTAATCAATTAAAAGAGCCACTGAGATAGCTCAGTGGACTAAACACTTACTTTGGCAAGTACAGGGACCAGGGTTTGATGCCTGGTCCTTCATGATGAAATGGCCTTGTCTCCGAGGTGCACTAATCCCCCTACTGAGCCTGGGTGTGGTGGTGCATACCTGTAATGCCATCACTTGGGAGGCTGAAAACGGAAGGATCACTATGAATCTGAGCTGCATAGTGAGACCCTGTACCAAATACATAAAATAAAAAAGGCAATAATATTTCAAAATTATATATATTTGTGTGTGTGTGTGTGTGTGTGTGTGTGTGTGTGTAATTGCTTGCCATGGAAGATTGATGTAGACATAATTTTAAAAGTTTCATTAGTCAGTTCAGACTGTGCCTATAATATTTTTATCATTTTAAGTTCTGCCATATCCTTAATTTATGTGAATGCAAATTCAAATCAGGATCAATGAAAACTTATTTCCCTTTGGAAGCAGTAACTCAAGTCAATGTGTTCAGAATGACTATGATCTTTTTTTTATAACTCCAGATTTTCTTGTTGCTTATAGTAAGGTTCTAAAAATCAATTGCTAGCTGGTAAAGCACAGGGTTTAAAGATCTACTGCATTTGCTTTATTTCATGCTAATATTTTTATATCCCCTATATCTTTGCTATCTCTTTGTAAGTATGGCAGTCAATCTTAGCAGATAACACTGTTGAACTTCAAAACTGTCTTATTACCTTTCTAGAAAATACAGGAAATTAATAACCTTATATTTATGGTTGGTTATCAATTTTGGAACAGAATCACAGAATAACATTATGGCTGTTGAGAAATTTCTTTTTCCCCCCGCCCTGCCCCCCCTTTTTTGTTTTGGGGGTTGGGGGGTCTGGCAGAGGGGGAAACTGGGGATTAAACTCAGACCTTTGTGCTTGACAGGCAAGAGCTTATTCTTCCCAGCAAAATGATTTGTTTGTTTGTTTGTTTGTTTGGAAGGGGTAATTTCTGCAATGAAAAAGGATTTATTTCACAGAGAAGGGGAGGGGCTTTATATGCCATAACAAACTTGATAGATGTGTGCATGGTATGATTATCAATGTTAAGTACTATTAGATAATGTGTTGATCTTTCATTGTGAAATTACAGGTTAGCAGAGACTTGCCATTTGAGAATTCCTCCAAAGAAGTTGAAAGCTTTCACTAGAATCTTGAGTTCCAAAATAGTGATATCAGATAGATTTTATAAGTAGATTTTATAAGATAGATTTTATAGATAGTAGATTTTATAGATTTTATAAGATTGTCTAAGTCAGAAGACAAGTTCTTGATGTTTCTTAGTCTATGTCAACCCCAGTATCCTTCACTGCAAAGACTTTTTTGTTGGGGAGGAGATGGCTCAAACAATCACTTAAAAACCCTTTAAGGTTTTTAGCTATGAAATCTAAGGACTAAACATATATACATTACTTGAAGAAAACAGAAGTTCACGATATGAACACTAGTTATTTTTTCTGCTTTATATACACCTTTAATATGTTTTTGCCAAGTATAAGGATCAGTTGACCACTATTCAATACTCCCCTCTTGCTGGGAGTGGTGTTGCACCCCTGTAATCTCTGCACTTCAGGAGGCTGAGGCAGAAATATTCCAAGTTCAATTCCAGCCTGGGCACCTTAGGGAATTAGCCAGAGATTTTGTCTCAAAATAAAATAATAAATGAATAAATAAAAAGTGCTTGGGGTGTATTGCAGTGTGTAGATTCTGGGTTCAACCTCCAGTTCTGCGAAGGGTGAGGGAAAAGTGCTACCTGTGGCAAATGGTGGGGTCCACCTGCAATCAATGACGTCCAAGATTAGCAAGTGTTAAAGGCAGCCAAGCAACTGGCTCAGATTTTGGCCTCCGGGGTGGCCAGAGGGCGGGATGCCAGCTCCAGCACCTGGTGGCCTGTCCAGGCACCACCCTCTGCTGCACAGTTGACCTCCTGGATGAACAGTTGCTAACATCACCAGCATGGCTGCACGGATGGCCGCCTTCCCTGCCACCATCTCCTGGGCTCTAGCCCCGAAGGATGAATTAATCCATGTTTTCACATGGAAGTCTTCTCCAGGAACTTGGAAGAATCCCTAGTGGCACATCCTGAGGCCTAACATCCAGGCCTGAGGGGGGTTCTGGGGGCAAAGCGGACACAGACGCAGTCTTATTAATAACATTTCATTTTACTTAAAAAATGAAAATTTTATGATAAAACGAGATCATTTAAATATCAGTATAAATGCCTACCTTACACAGCTTTAGATTTTTTAAAAAGTATTTCTAATTATCATTTACACTTTCTATTCCCCTCTTTCTCTGTCTCTCTTCTGGTTTGGTGTGTAAATTACCCTTAAAGTTTTTCATCAATCTAGAATTTGTTTTGAAATCTAAGCTCTATTTTCATTAACTTCTAGACTCTCAAGTGTGGAAATTATTTAATTATTACACTGCACTCTTTGATACTAAAATATTTTTAAGTACAAATGGTGTTCACCTGGCTGGGGACATACCAAGATCTCGGGAAGGTGGATTTCCCAGGGTGAGCTTTACCCATCGCACCCTGGATGTGCTGACCCCTGCAATTTCTCCAAATGTGGGAAACTCGACTGCACAATTTGTGGTAGTGGGGGACTGTGTTCTCCCTCTCCCCTGGAAAAAGAAAAGTACAAATTATAAGTAAAAGTATAACATCTGTAATATTCAAAGTTCTATCCGCATGTGATTAATATAGTTTTAAATGTTTGAAATTTCTAATCCTAAGCTGAGCATATGCACAACAATAACATATGTTCCAATTTGGCAAAAAAGTGGGGAGGACAGATGTAACTATTGCTGACTAGGCATAATATAAAAATGCATTTCTGTTTGATTAAAAAGAAAACTATTGGTTTTAGGAAGCGATCTGGAACTGTATTCTGAGATTGAAAAATATGTGCTTGCCCAAGGCCAGAGAGAAATTTATTTATTTTTTTATCACTGTGCCATACCAAATTGAGTACAATATAAGAGAAAAATAGAGCTGGATATAGCTCAGTGA